ATTATGAACATACAACACTTTGTAAGTCGCTGTGACACACAAAAAACGGTTAAACAGCATTTTCTCAACTGCATTAGGCGAATTTAGCTGGAAGTACTATGTATTAGCGTATCCACTGCTAACAGCTGACAACAGGTGTTTTGTAAACACTTGCAACGGCTTTTTTGTTGTTTGTGATATTTTTCTTTCTTGTGTAGCTGATGCTTGCTCCTAATGCCTGTCATTGTAGTCGACTGTAGTTTTTTTTTTAATGATTTCTTTTGTTCGAAGTTTAATAGAAATTGCATGCAACAATCTGAGCCATTGAAAGGCTGAGATGTGCTGCTTGAGTGACAACTATCAACCGGCATGTCTATATAAAACTGGTAAACAGCATTATGAGCCGCATTAGCACCAGCTTTTAGATATAAAAAATAAAATATTTATGAATTTTCTTATGTAGTGGTATAATTCACAGATTAACACCTTCAACGAGCGTGCGGCTTGCAACTCGTTAGATTACAGAAAGGTGCACGCGCATGCGCTGCTGGGTACTGGGACAGAGCAGATAGAAAGAAAGCTGTATGGACCATAACTAAATAGAAAACAAAACAAACAAGTTTTGGTTAATTGTCTTTTTGACATTTTTTTTACTTCGCTATAATGCAGTGGAGATAATTTTGTGTTATTAAAATCTGTCCAGATGTTTATTTATTTAAGTGTTTATGTACATAAAATGTGTTTTTAAAAGACTCCCAGAGCATTTGTTCCACATCACAAAACAACTTTTTTATACCTATTCTTTGATTTTTAATGCGCTGTAACGATGTACGTATGTATGTATGTCAGACGATTTTATGGGCTTTTTTTAACACTTTTAATTTTAAGTTTTTTCAGTTCAGAGTGCATTGATTAGTCTGGACTCTGGAAAAACTGGTTTAAAAACTTTTGAACAGCTACACACATCATCCGATTTTTTTTTAGATTCAATTATTACATACAACTCCTTGTATGCAAACCGGGAGTAACTACATTTCATTAAAACTAAGTCCTGTTGATTTTCAATGCAGGAGCAAAGGATCATTACTGCAAGTCAGGCTGGAAAAATCTCTAGATTTAGTGAAAATTTGGATATGAAACTTTACGCCAGAAACTCATCGATAGCTTCAACATAAAAATAATCATTAAACCTCTACAAAACATACACACATATCGCACAAAATCTTCAAAGGTGGCACAACTCAAAATTACACGTTCTTCAGAAAATTCGAAAAATAATTTCTAAGCACATGCTATAATCAGATGGGCAAGCAAGACTTTACCTTAGGTTTTTTCAACAAATTACAACAAATATTTGTTCCAGCTTTCGCTGAAAGGCAATTAAAAGCTCTGTGCATTGGTATTAGGCGCATCTGGGTAAACTAAATCACAACTGATCTGGCGAGAAAAGTGATCAATTACCTTAACTGAGTTGAATTGTTATAACGACTTTTGTAGTCCCTGAATTCATCTATGTACAGCTGCTGATGACTTCTTCTTTTCCGCAAGCTTGCACGATATACAGCAATACATATTAGGATTTGTAAATAATATTGACCTAATCACCAGCGCCATGGGGGCAGCACACTCCAACTCAGAGTGGTAGACGAGAACAAGAAGCTAGACTGATACAATTTACGGGCAAAGATTAAAATGCAAAGACTTCACTGGCTTGGTTATTTCAAATACATATTTGAACGATCTTGTAAAACGATCTTTTAATTTAGCACTCACGGGTGGACAACGAAATAAAAAGTGCTCGCCAGCACAATGGGAGGATTGTGTTTAAAAAAACTTGTCTGTACTTCTTACGGATATTCACTCAATTCTCTAACGACAAAATTAGAGATGGCAATGGCATCGAAGGTGAGATTCCTGTGTGCAGCACAGCCAAGACTATGCTACGCTCTTACAACTCGAAAACCACCACTATATTCTAACACTTCCAAGTCTGGATTTTAAGAGAGGAGATGGATACTTGTGCGATGCTGTCTCGTAACATTTCAGGCATTCAAATTGGAACTAACCCCGAATGAAGAACACCCCGTTTCATTCTATTGATTCTGCTTGATTATCTTCACTTAGGGTTGCCAGACGTACTGCTTTTGGGAGTACATGTACTCATTTTTATTGCAATGTACTCCCTTGTACTCCCAAAAAAAATATATGGCAATGTACTCCTTTATTAGTTTTGTACTTCTTTTGTTCTCCTTTTTTCAGCTATTAATATTTTATCATATACAGGGTGTAAAATAATAACTGTCGCACAGTTTTTTTTGTTTTTAATAAAAGGGACCTTTATACATTTTGCGAAAATTTTATTAAGCCGTTTTTAAATTTTAACCTTCATTTGGGTTTACCAGCGGGTTTGGGAAAATAGCGCAAGCGGCCCGCAAGTCTTCGTCGGTTACTTTATTACATATCTTCTGTAAATATAGGCTACTTTCCCCAATTTGGGTCCTTTATACTCCGTCTTTTGTCCAACATAAGGCCTCATACTCAGCAATCGAAAAGACTCCGCACCGGTGACTAGGAGGGCATTCATACGACCAACCCTATACAGTTTTTTTCTCTTTTCTTTATACAAATTTTAAGGAAAAGTACACCTATAAAAGACGTGACGTGTAAAAGACGGGCCGCATGAACTTATCTCCCAAAGCTGACAAATGCAAATAAGGATTAAAATTTTAAAACTAATTAATAAAATTAATGTAAAGTATTAACAAAGTTAACAAAAAAATACTCTTTTTCGCAACATCCATAAAGGACCCTTTTATTTTTCAAAAAACCTGTGCGACAGTTATTATCTTACGCCCTGTACTTTGTCATTCATATTGTGGCAAACACTACTTAGTAAGCAAAGTTAAGTGTGATAGTGAAAAGGTGTAGGCATGGTCGTAGCAAGGTAGGTGCAGAGCGCTCGGGTATAAAAATCAGAAAAATAATAAATTAATTATAAGGCTTAAATTAAAAAACTGGCCATATATTCAGAAGGAGTTTGGAATTCTTTTGTAGAATTTAGTTGGGGAAAATTTCCTATAAGGGCGGCCATTGAAGAGGTGGTGAGCGAAGGGGGAGTGGGCGTGGCTCCCCGACAACCTAGGCCCCCTATGGGTCCTTAGGTACGCCTTAGAAAAATTGCCAAATATCACAATTGATCACCATCTTTTTAACGACCGCCCTTATTGGAAAACCAGCTCATTTAGTTATTTATTTTTAACATTTATTGTTGCTTTGAAAAAGATTTCTAAAATATCTTTGTTTATTTGTACCTACTTAATAGTAATTTGTAACAATAAATTGCACAAAAAATTAAAAAAGAAATTGTACTCCTTTTTTACGTCTTGTATTGCTTTTTTCCTATCGAAAATATAAATGTACTCCTTTCTCCGTTTCAAAATCTGGCAACTCTATCTTCACTTAAAAAAATTCCGGGATCACCGTGACTACACTGAGAAAAAAAATTACAAACATTGGTCAATATAACCAAATTCAAACTTGAAAAGGGATCAAAGCGATTTTTGTTTATTATATTTTTAACAATCATTTGGTAATATTAACCACACTTTTGCTTACATTAAACAAATTTTCGGTTATCGATTTTTTCGTTTGAATCAGCTTATGTTCCGCACTTCAGAGATCCTTTTTCATAATTCGGAGATACAAAACAAAAAATCTATTATCATTTTTAGCTCAGTGTAAGGTTTTGGCTTTGGACACCACTTTCTTCACAACGTTGAGTGCAACTAATGTTCTATTTGAGGTCCCACAGATAAGCTGAGCTAACCGTACCTACACTGAGAAGAAAAGAGTTTAGGTACATGAACTAAATATGTTTCATTCAAGACATGACTTGATTATAGCTACATTATTTAGTTATAGTTACCGAATCATAGGTTGAAAGAAATATATTTAGCTGACTTTTTTCTGAGTGTAATTTAACCTTGCTAAACTATTGAATACCAGGGTGAAGCAATAAAATGACGACATAAATAAAAACACATCAGAAGATTCAACTAGACTGCTCCCTTGCTTTGATCAAGTGTTAGAAGGAGAGGGTATTTCAAATATTTCTAAACTTCTATTTATCTTTTTTCGGAATATGGCAGCAAAGGTCACACATTAAAATTCAATTATTTTTGAAATCATAAAAAAAAATTATTTCAGTATCTTATAGTCCTATTTTCCACATTACTGCACATTTTGTTACAGGAAAGTTTTATTGGTTGCCAAAAATTTATATCAAATCTTGTAACACCAATTCTGAGTACATTGGCAACGCATTAAATGTACATATTTAGCAATTCAGCTACGGATTTCTATAGAAATTCTGCTATTGTATATTTCGCCGGGAAGTATGTAGTACATACATACATGGTATGGTGTTATATTTGTATGTACAATGAAACATAATTTATATTGTAAACAAAATTTGCATGAGACAATGGCGCGCAAACTTCCTATACAACGGCGAAAATTTTCAAAGAAATAATCAAGGTTTTTGCAGAAGGAATTCAAAAATCTGCTCAAGAATATTAAGGTGAAGATCCTTTGTACGCTTTTGTGCTTGTTGCACCCCTTTATCACCGGTGGTAACAATACTCACGCAATAAATGTGAACATATGTACATTTTCATGTGTGGTAAGATGTTTCCAGGTAAAATGCGCAAAACTAGCAGTAAAATAAAAGCAAATAAAAATCAGGTACAGGTGTTTTTTGAAAACTTAACCCGCTGACACTGTCACTGCAATCAAACTAAAGGTGTGACACATTAACCCTTAACTGCATGCGAGCACAGGTAGAAAGGTTAAAAGAAGTGCACGTAATTTCCATACCTATAAAAGCTGTGAAATTTTTGCATAAGGACATCATTTGCAAAAGTGGTAAAAGAGTGTCACAACAAATCCTCTCACACATACGGAAAGAGACATTTTTTTTTTAAATCAAATATAAAAACACGAAATTTATTCAAGTCAAGAAAATGTCCGAAGATTTAAGAAACATCTCTTTACCATACCAGCTCTACCTTTATAATGAGGAATTACGGCATGCAAGCCCACGAAAACACATTGTACGCCGCATTAAATCGAAAGCGGATTTAACCTCCACATTGATTAATGAAAATATTAAACATCTTGACGACTATGGCGTGGAGGATTTGCGCACAATCAATCGTCAAGTGGATTTCAAAGAGGAGTTAGCGATAAAAGCTGTACTAATGCAGGAGAACTGCATTAGGCGGAAATCGGAAAATATACCAAGCACTTGGTTGTAGCAAAGGCGGTACTTTGTGCTATAGACAAGGCAACGTGAAAAATTCAGTGACCAATTTCGACCCCATTGATGACAATTTAAAAGAAAAAATGTATATGTATATAAGCTATTAATTATTATAAATTTAAGTGTTAATGCGTATTTTTGAAAATAAAGAAAAATCAAAAAAATATTAATTTTTTCTGCGCCTTTCGTTTGATGGAAACCCAATGCAGAATAAGAGAATTTCCAGCAGAATCTGGGGACTTAAATCGAAGCTTTTGATATGGATGTATACCGCTATCATGAGACCGCTTCTGACATAAGGCAGACACACAATATAATCTTAGTAAATTATATGGTCACCAATACTCACTTCCAAAATAACGTACAAGTGCGATTCATATTCAGAAATGAAGGTAGAAGAGACCGAGCGGCCAATGAAGAGGATATCTCTGCATATCGACGGAATAAAAATGGATTGTGGAGCCGATGAAAGGGTATGATGCTGCTTTCCTAACAGCGGCAGCCAAAGAACCCAAACTTGGTTGTTTATATTAATTATTGCTCTCAAAAGGCACTCAATAACCAGTTTTAATGTTGCCATACGAGATTTGAGGGCTTTAGTAGGCCCTTAGCCGTTAGTGGAGATCGGAATGTTTGGACATCGAAGTCCGTACATCTTTTATGGCGTGCATCCGTGCTTTCCTCTAAGTTTCGATTGTACAACTTTGGTCCAAATATACATATCTCCGTTTCTTCTTAAGTCAGTTGTAAGCCTTTTTTAAATTGAGCTTTGTATTGTAATTTCAGGGTACTGCTACGTTAGAATATCGATCTTCCTACGGCTCAGAAACTCTTCTGTTCCGATGCTGGCATCTTTCGTTCTTATGATAGCCCTCTTCGCCTGAGTTTGAATATTAAGCTAGATAAGGTCAGGAATAACTTCTGAAGATGCTGTTGGACATGTTCTTATTGATCACGTTATGCGTACGCATGGCTTTTTTTAGCTTCTTGATTGCCCTAAGTTGTGCAGATTTATCAACCCAAGCGATGTCTCCTATACAAGTTGTTATGGGTCGCGCTATCGCCGTGTAGGTCTATCTCAATATTTTTAGAGATAAACCCGCAACTTTTTGCTGCAATAGATCATAATTGATCTTAAAGCTTCGTCCGGGCCTATACTTGTGCGTGCTCGAAAAATTTAATCTCTTTTTTGATATATTATGTTTGTACTAGTTAGCTATCTAGTTTTTGATAGAATTATTTTTGAAGTTTTCAAGGCTTACTCCAGTCTAAGAGAAACCCCTAAATGGAGAGATCTACACTTTTACTCCAGCTCCGAAGAAGTACACTCGGAGGTTTGACTTTTTTATGTTGCTGGATCCAGATATTGGACCATGGACCTCCTGAGTAGCAATAGGCGCATCTAAGCACTCGGCTACGGCGGCAAAAGCCGAAAAAAGTCAAAAATTGCAATAAAGTATTAAGAAAAGTTAAAACAAGAACAAACGTGAATTTACTTGTTTTACTTTTGATCTAAAACAAGTAGTTTTTAAGAAAAAAACAAAACCGACTTCAACTCTCATAAAAAAACTTAAGACTTTCGTTAATTTCTTCACGATCCAATTATCGGATCTAAACAAAATTAGTATGGGATCACCCTTGAGGTACCAGCTTTCCGATGGAAAAAGAATACTAAAAAAAATAATTTATATTCCGACGAACTGATAACCTCCTTCTTTTTTTGAAGTGGGTTAAAAAAGGTTAAACTTATTTTACTTCTATATTTTTCTAAGTAGAAGCTATATTTCGTGTTAATAGTTTTATTTTAATTTTTGGTCATGACTTCATACCAACATAAGCATTTTCATGGTCAGAAAACTATGTAAAATAAAACCAGTTTATCTGGCTTTTTTTCCTAATTTCAAAATGGGGAACCTTTTTTTTTTTTTTATTTCACCGGTTTGGGACGCCCTAAACATCTCCTAGGTAAAATTAAAAAAAAAAATTAAATACTTTTTTGGCATCTAATTACAAATATCTGAATGTATTTTTGCATTGAAAAAATGTCTCATGAAAAAAAGCTATTTAGACGTAGACTTCAGATCCCTGTTTTCTTATGACAATATCCAGACGCAGATGAGCAGCCTTCGTTTAAACTTTTTATACTCGCATCTCTGCATAGATGATTTAGGTTCAATCTTTCACAAATAGCAAACCATTAACGCTTATTAGGCAACTCTATATAAATGTGTAGCGACTTCTTTCAACTCAGCCGCACGCTCATCAACAACCAACACAAACTGCGATAGCTTTCAATCCGTTCCTCCATTTAATTAGAGTATCAATTGTGCGAAATTTCAAAACGATTCAAAACAAACAGAACGGATGTTGCACATTGAACCCGCCTATCGTTGATGGTTTGCTGCGCCGTTTGCCGTTGCATTCAATTGCAGAGATGAATCTCAACATGCAACTAACTACATTGCACCGGCAAATAAACATACATACATATGATTATACTCGTGCATGTGCAGAAACATATGTAGGTACATACATGTATGTATGTAACAATGAATGCAAGCAATGTTAGTGCAAAGCTACCCCAGCAAACGCGCCTGATTTTCGCCCTCCCCCGCTGCTTTATAGCCCAAGCTAGTGAGTGCTATTGCGATTCATTGCAATATTTGATTGCAATCGTCAGTAGTAACAATGGCAACAATCGCAACACTCAGCCTTCCACAACAACAACAACAACAGTGAAATAACAAAAACAGTGCATCGTAGCTGGCAATGCAAGTGGCTTTGCTAGAAACAATATGTAAACACATAGATGCATACATACATACATGCAAACGTAGGCTATTTAAATCCATAATACAAAAGACTTCAACTGCAGCCAGCAGCAGCAGCAAGCAGCAAATGCAGCTACAGAGCGTGCATTGCCAATACTCATGCTATGTATGTATGTAGTTGCGGTTGCCATTGCTGTTGCTTACGACTGTTGCTGTTGTTGAGTTGCATGAAAAATGGATCTGCTCCAGAAGATTTCAGTAATCTCATTCGTCACACTTGGTTGCTCAAGTACGAATTTATCGTTGCTTTTTTACTAATATACAGTGTTGTTGTTGCTTTGTACTAGTACAAGCATTTTGCTTAGTAAAGCAGCTATAGCCTTAGCGCACGGCTATTAGAAGTACTACTAACAACATACTTTTAAGCATATGTATGTATGCGCATGCAAGCAGTGGCTACTACCCCTTCCCCCTCCGCCCCCCCTCGCCCTTAACACACCAACAAACATCATTCAACAATGGGCAGCGCGAAAAGTTAATTCCTTTGCTTCGTTGATTTTGGAAGCCCTAGAAGAATTATGAAGTGGTAATACTTGTTGCCGTACTTTTATTACACACTCTGCTGCGCACAGATACATACATTCATACATTAGTGCACAAATATGAGTAGTTAGAATACATATGTATGTATGTATGCATGTAGAAAAGTATTTTGCATTTAAGTCATTCTGTCTACATTGCCATTCACTTTAAAGTTTAAACCATAGTCAACTGTGTATTAGCTATAAGTATTGTACCTATGTGTTGGCGATACTGTTGCTTACATTTGTATGTACAAGCATATGCAAGTCTTAGAAAAAAAATCCAAGAATGTTATGGCACAGTGCGCAAAGCGCATGAATGCGACTGTTTATGTTATCTGCAGATGAGGTTAGGCTATTTTTTGATGCCACACATTTCAGTATCGGAATATCTTCTTTGTTACCCAGCCAACTATTTTTTGTTGCAAGCAATTAGTACTTTTGAAACGACCGCCATTGTGTATTAATGCCGTATTTGTTTGTAGTCACGATATATAATTACAAAGCACATGATTGTTACCAAAAAGGCACCACACAAAAATTCAACTAAGAACACTTAAATATGTGTTGAAAACTAACAATAGGCAGAAAGAAGTATTGCGAGATATCAGTCAAAAAGTGAAACGAACAGTAGACCACCAAGCAACAAGTAGTTGAATACAACTACTTTGATCATTCGTTGGTTAGTAACACAATGACTATTACTTATTTAAAAAAAAAAGACTATTGAACCCATGTAGCGTTGAAACATCAAAATTATTGGTCAGGAAATTGCACGAAATTTTTTAAAATTGCAAAAATTGCTTTTGCATCAAATCAATTCAAATTACATTATAAAAATTTTTAAATTAGTAGTTTATTTCAAATCCACAACTTTTTACCTCCCTTAAAAATTTATGATTTTCGAAGTGCAGATCTAGGAAAAAAAGCTATCTGCGTACAAAATTTCAAGCAAATCCGGCCATAAATACGATTTTGTCGAATAGATCGGTCCCTGGTCCACCGATCATAAAAAAGTATCCTATATGTTAATTCGGGCTATAAGCTACCTATGTGTCAAATTTCTAGAAAATCGGACCACAAAGAAAATTGTTTCGAATAGATCGGTCCCCGGTCTATCTACCGGGAAAAAGTAAATTTTGTTGGGCTATTTCATGAAAATCGAACCAGCTGTTCGCGAGATTACCTGTTACAAAAAAAGGGACTTCTCTCGAAATAATTAGTATAGTTATAAAAAAATTTAATATTTTAGGCAAAAAATATTTTTTTTCTTCATACATTTATTTTTACAGGCAAAACAGTTGATTATATAGAAAAACGTTATATGAACAGATTAAAGGAATTGTAATTTTTAATTTTTTTAAATTTTTTTGAGCAAAATCGGACTAGTGGTTCTCGAGTTATGTCAAAAAAAGACCACCAAAGGTGACAATTTCCCCTATATGATAGTTATATATATATCTCGATTCCTAGACTTGACCCAGCGAAACGCCGGGACACGTATAACTTGTTTATGACCGATATAACATTTCCCGTTGGTTTCATCCCATCCCGATTTTGACTGTCGCATAGTGTAATGGAGGATGGTTCCGTGCGCAGAAGTGGAAAACTTTTGACTGCCATTCACCTGGGAGTGGCCAGAA